AACTAACCAGGAAAATTTATCACTGGAAGGAAAGCAAACACAATGGTTCAAGTTTAAGTTCCTATCCTGTTTACTGTCTCCTCATAGACCTCCTCTTGGCTCTGAAATGGAGCTGCCACACCTCTTTCCTAAGCTGCTTAAAATGTAGAGAAAAGCAGAAGAGGTCCGCAGTTGTACCTTTGTTGAAACACCTCTGCCGTAGGCCTCCCCCCGCTTTTTTCCTGGTCTATATCAAGCATTTCTGGCTTTCTGGTGATAAACCCACACGCAAATTATCCAGCTAAAACCACTGGCATAAATGGCTACTTACAGAGACCTCATGCTTCAGTTGGAGGCAGCCTATCCTGGTTCTCGAGTGCCTGAACCTGGGCCAGAATCACTATTTTAGTGTTCCCATAAAAATACTTGGTTTTCTCGTACACATAATAGGGAGGATCCAATACTGGATGAAACAATGGGAACCGCGTACAGATTTTCTGTCAAAACTGTCATTGCAGTCTGGTTAAAGCCAGAGCTTTTGAAAAAGGCAAGACTAGTTCCTTACATTAATTGTATCCCTGGAAGAAATAATTACAGAGATTTCTCAGCCCCAAATCACTGAATGCTAAGAAGTTAAGCCAAGGTAATAGTAGATCTTTGTATTAGCTTTACCCAAATATCTTCCTAGCTAGAAAATGGAAGCATATTCTGTATTGGCAGAATAAAGCCTTTCATTGCAAGAGTCTGCGTTTTCTAACTCTGGTAAATTGTTTGGAGCACGGGAGGAGACCTGGATGTGTTCCCTTGTATAATTGTATTTTGTTGGAAGAGAAAGTGCTTGATTTGAGTAAAATGTGGTCAGTCAGAAACAGACTGCCAGAATAGGAAAAAAATTCAGTGTTAAATGATATTTTGATTCCCATGGAAAATTTGAGATGAAGACTTTATCTTCTGGAGGCATAAGGGGGTAGTCAATGGGCCGTATGGCTGAGATTTTTGTGTTTCTTTAATGTTGCAGATTGATGCAACCATTAAGGCGTATGTTCTTGGTTTTATTTTTTCTTTCTTTACTAAGATATCTTGGCTGTATTTTAAAAAAGGATACTGCGTAAGGGTAGAATGGCCAACTTTATCAGTTTGGAAGGATCAAAATAATCACAGCAGTGGAATAAAAACAGCAGTGGTTTTAATTATTCAAATTCTAGTCCTAGTCAAACTTTGACCTCGGGACGATCACTTTCCATCTTTGGCCTCAGTTCTTTATCTGAAAAATTAAGAAAATGAACTTACAATCAGTGATCTGTCTTGTCTTTGTCTTCTGCAACATTCGTGAAGTTTATAAACACAAGATTTCCCATAGGCCATACTGGAGCCATCCGAATTCTCAGTGGCCTGCCTTTAATTTCATCCCTTTCTTGCCATCTCAATATTGGAATGCATGCAAGGGAGACTGACTTTACCTTCACAAAACCCTTGAATCTCATCCTACTGATTTGAAAAAAAAAAAAAAAAAAGCACAAACGGTCCAAATTTCTTTACTTTATTAACAATAATAGTTTATTACTAAAAATTGACTTGCAACCTTTCTCACTGTTGCCACATGCTCACATGTGGTATAAATCACTGTTGTAATGGGGGGACTAGGTGGTTCCTAAGATATCTTAGATCGTCAGCCTTCTAAAATGGTGCAACTTCCGCTCATCTGAAAAACGAAGTAGGCTCGCTTTGTGCAGACCTGCTATTATAGGTCTGGAACCCTGACACTGTTGAAAATCTGTAGCTGCCCTACTTCTTCTTAGTTAAATCACTACATTACTAAAAATAACAAACCGGAAATAAACCCAAATTTTATTGTTGGCCAAGGGAAATATCATGACCCCCTTCCACGCCTGATCTCAGACCCTGTATAGTTTTGTGAAGCCGGGAAGTATGTTTTTAACAGGGCATTCATTTTCAGTTAGGAGAGAAGTCGTGACTAATCACAGAGGACTGTTTTCTCTCCTCTAGGCAAGAGCACGGATGGCCTGTAATCACTTCATCGGTGTGTCCACACGCGTACAGATAGCATGGGTGTGGGATGAAGGGAGCATAATGAGTTATGTAAGCCCTTAGAGAGGTCTGGAATGAAACACCTGAAAACCAGTCACCTCCGCTCCAATCCATAACCTCCACAAAATTGGGTGGCTTAGCTCAATATTCTCTGAAGAAATTTCTATTTGTGAGATGAAATTGAACTGCACTTACAAATTGGTCTTCTCTGATAAAGAAAGAGATTTTTTTAGTGATTTCTTTAAAAGCTCTAAGTGGTTTCCCTAATAGGCAACAAATCACAGGACACTGTCTATTATCCAAACACCGCCAGGCTCTAGAGCCTTGTTTGTGAGATGAAAAGCCTATGGATTGGGTCTTCTCGGCAGTCTTGGTGTCTGATCCTATTGATTTGGGGGAAAAAAAGAAATAATAATTGACGAAAAATGATTGATTCAGGAGGCTGCATGAATGGTTTCAGCCTCACTTAAGCTGTTATTTTTATCCTGTCCATGGCAATATGGCTGCTCACTTCAAAACGGTGCGGTACCCGTTTTATGGCATTGCCAAACACCGACCACACATTTCTTATCACTCTCTGGTGTTAAGGTCACATGGTATATTCTGTAGCAAGGTCCCTCCACCCTTCCCAAGAGATATGGGTCGGGGGTGGGGGGAAGAACTCGACTCCCTGTGGAAGGCTGAAAGTCAAAGTACAATACAGGCAGAGTTGACTGGGAGTTTTCACTGTTGTTGAGAGGTCATCAAAGGCCTTAGGTCTTACTGGACCTCAGCAAACCTGAATTCATCTAGCTGGCAAGTAGCACGGCTAACGAAAAGAGTTGGAAAGAAAAATACCCACGCCGCATGAGAACAACACCGTTTCAAAGTCAGTCCATTTTCATGAGAGGCTTATGCTCTTAAGTTTCTAATGGCATGAGTGATTCGAGGCTCTCATATTTTCAAATAGTAGGTACAGACTTGGGCTGATTTAGCTAGGCTTTAGCCTCAGCTCCATTCACTGTGAGAGACAGCTAGCCAGGACTTTGAGAATTATGGTCTGACTACTGGATGTAGATGATAGCATATTAGTAAATACCAAAGAAGCCTCAACATTTGGCAGATGTTTTAGTTCCAAACATTTAATTTGTGACCGTTATTTAAAAAATCTCTCGTGGTTGGTGGGTTTGAGCCCCGCATTGGGCTCTGTGCTGACCGCTCAGAGCCTGGAGCCTGCTTCGGCTTCTGTGTCTCCCTCTCTCTCTGCTCCTCTCCTGCTTGCACTTGCTCTCTCTCTCTCTCTCTCTCTCTCTCTCAAAAATAAACATTAAAAATCAATAATCACTGTAATTTTCAAAGAAGAGTAGAAGTTTAAGTTTCAAGCTTTGGCTGTTCATTCAGGTGATTATTTTCAGCTCAGTGATGATTCTTTGTTAAAAACTATGGGAAAAAATGTCATCAAACTGTTATCTGATGTAATGCAGTGACATGGAATAATAAAATAATGAACATTGGTCTGTCACTTTACAGTTTTCACGCGCATTATCTCGCTGATTATCACTAGACTGTGACTTCATGTGTCTGGTATGAAGTACCTTCTTTGCCACTGTATCTCCAACACCTTGCAAGGAGCATGGCTCGGAAGTAGGTGCTCAGTAAGTATTTATTAAATGAATGGTTGAACCACCTTGTGATGTAAGCAGAGCAGGTATTACTCTTTTTCCCATTTTATAGGGGAAGCAACATTACAGAAAAGTTTAACGACTTGCTCAAGGTGATAGAGCCAGAAAGTGGTGGTACCAGGCCTTGAATCTCGTTCTTTAGACTCCAAAACCTGAGATTTCCTCCACATACTTGGGTTATGTGGTCAAACTCTAGTACTAATTGGTAAACCCCAGAATTTCTCTCGGCCTCATAAACCTTCTCTGTAAAATAAGAGAAGGCTAATAATATTCTGTGGCTCTGACGTCCCACCTAGGTCTAATACTATGAGCTCAATTTACAGTATCATTTACAATGTCATTCTGGCTTCTGAGAGTCTTCTATTCACCAAAGAAATGGTGCTAATGATACAGTCCAGAGAGGTCAGAGCTGTCAGGTGGCCCAGAGGAGGGACTCAGGGCCACTGTCAAAGACCCACTTAGTCACAGTGGGAGAAAACTTCAGACAACTTCAGACTAGAAGCTTCTCCTTTTAGGAAGTCAATGAGGTTGTTTTGAGGTTGGTTGGAAAGAGTCTCTGGGAAAATTCTATGTGATTGTTAACATGCAGTTACTCTAGAAGCTTTCTGGCAACGATGTGCACATTTGATGGCCTTGCTTCCTCAGTTAGCTAGTTGCCCCTATCCCCTTCCCCACAGACACACCCCACACTACCCCCACTGCGTGCTCAATAACTATAAAGCAGGATGTAACTCATAGGAAGAATTCACTGGAAACAGCCGCCTTTCACATGCTACCAAGAATTTCAGGGATAGATTCCAAACATGGATTTTGTTTTAAAAATTTCATTATCCTCATCACACATAAGGTTCCTTGGCAGCAGCTTTGTAAATATTTATCTGGTTGTTATTTGGGGTCTCATTTTTTTAAGAACTGATTAATCCCCACTCCCTAGAATGATGTATTATTTTCAAGCAAATCCAAATACAAGCTGAAGACCCTGTGTAAATTGGTTCTAATTTTTCTTCAGCCAGGATCCCGTTTAGAATGTACACAAACGTAAGATGTCAAGAACATTTAGCCTGTTACACCCTAGGAGGTTAGTGACGCACCCCCGCGCCCCCAGCTCCCAGCCTGCTCTGAAATCTGATTAGAGGGGACTGAGAAATGAAGGCTCACCTGGAATTAGAGACAGCTGTCTCAAATAAGGGTAGAGCCTGGCACTAAACCCTCCAAAACGGCGCCTTTTCGAGGCTGTGCTCCTTTGCAGAATAGAACTTCAGTTATCACCATAGTTCCTAAGTCAGACTCCAATCTCTGGCCATCACTTACCGAAAATTTCGAACCACGAAATTGTGACCATTTCTAAGAGCTGCCTTGTTCAACAGGGTCCTCAAATTAAACAGCATCTTCTTTTGATAATGAAAAAGATCACTGTATGCTCTTGAAAACGCCTCACCAAGGTCGACAGACAGTGGGCTCCACCTAAAAGCTAAGAATGCTTTCAACTGCAGTGAGAGAGCAAAGGTAAAATCACCCTTCAACTACCTTATCAAATTCCCCTGGTTAGAGATACTGCAGGTCAGGGTACAGGAATGCCTGCACTTTAAGCCAAGCTCCACCACTGCGTGTGTGTGTGTGTGTGTGTGTGTGTGTGTGTGTGTGTGTGTGTGTGTCTGTTTAGAAGGAATCCTGATTCTTTTGGTGACCAGACTCCTCATTTTTCATAATATATTTATGCTGTCACATACTTGCACAAAATCAATTGACAAGTACTCATTGGGCGTATAATATATGCAGGGCGTTGCAGTGCTGGCTGCTGTAAAGGTACATAGAAATAACCCACTGAGAAAATGTGAATCGTCAGTGCAGAACCCCAGATGTAGACATGACAACCCGGAGTATTTCCAACGGTATTTCATTTGTAACTCTAAGTCTCAGCTTTCCTGCAAAAACAAACAGAAAGAAATGCCCCAGAGCTATTTTTGTGGTGGCAAAAAGCTGGAGTGGGGAGGTATAATAAAAAGATCTCAGTCCTGGAGCTCCCATTGTGCCTTGCACATAGTAGGTCTTCGATAAGCAAGTAGTTGCTTATTAATTCTAGCAGGAACCCACAATCAGTAGAAGTGGGGAGGGGGTACCATACGCTCCTCCCCTGGTAGCCTCTCCAGATCACTAAGAGGTCTTCCAATGCTTTACATTTATTCATTCATCCACAGTTATAAATCAGATATTTTCAAAATCCGTTCTGTGTCAGATATTGGACTAGGCTGGAACTTCAGTGAAGGAAGATGATCTCACTGTCACAGAGTTTGCAGTTCAGTAAGTGTGATAATATTTGTAAATAAGCATACATAACACAAGCCCGTAGGAGAGGTCCAGATAAAGCGCTACCATATCACAGGGAAGAAAAAGTACTCTAAGCTGGGAAGGGTGGGAGGCAGGAAAGAAAGGGCTGCATCTTCTGATCAATTTATGTGACTTTAGCAAACCCAGGTAAACACTCGCTAGAAGTTTATGCAATGCAAAAAAAAATATGCTATTTAAAAATTAATTATGGCCACTTCAGGAACCGGAATGGTTATGATGTCATAATTAATGTCAGCAGGGAAATAAATCTTATTGCTATTCCCTTCTACTTACAAAGAATGATGCGGGACAGAGAGGGAAAGACTGAACTGTTCAAACCTTTACTAAGTCTTCTGTTCCAGAAAGAATATTCCAGGCAGAGGCAAGTGTTCACAAGGGTACAAGAGTAAGAAGGTATAGAGTGAATGTTCCAAGTGGGAGAATAGAAGTCTGCTTTGTTGGAAAAGACTGTAAAGCATCTTTGAAGAGGCAAAAGAGGCCAGTTGTTGGATAGGTTTCAGACAGTGAAATTGCTCTATGTAATACAAGGAAGGAAATTGAATGTTTGCAGTGAGATTGAGGGAAAAGAGCTCAAACTGTATGCTAGTGTAAAGCCCGTATCTCCAGTCAAGTGTGCTACCTACACAAACAACTCATGTTAGCAATGCTTGGGGAGAAATCAAGTGTCTGCAGTGCTGTGGTGTAGAAAGTAGGTGGCATTTCTGAGATGCCAAAGAGACTCAGAAACCCTTCTAATTCTACTGAGGTAGGAGCTCAGTCCCTCAGAGGAGACTAAGAAAACTGAAACCACCCACAACCCCTAGCGAGATTGGAAGATAAAAGGTGCACCACACGTGGGATGAGGTTAGAGGCAATTTCATTGAATCTCAAAAGAGATTCTGGGTAACATGTGGAAGAGCACCATAGAGGGTTTGACATTCATCCTCAGAGTTCATGCTTTCATTGACCCACACCATGACTCCTCTAATTCCATTTTAACTGCGTGGTTTGGCACCCTACCTAGTTCCCTTTCTTCACCCAGCCCTCCATTCACTCATTTTTCTCTCCCACCACCAACAGTTGTGCAGTGATCACAGACTGGGTCTCTGTACTAGGTGGGCTCTGAGGGAAATAGTGATAAATAGGAGTGATGGATCCTTTCCCACTCGGAGTCAACCATTTTGTCTCTTTGCTCTGGCGCCAGGCATTCTAACCAAGGGGGAGGGGCTTGTTCTCTGCTTCCTTGCTTCAGAAAAGAAAATGAAAAAAAAAAAAAAGTTCTGCATTGTGGCATTGATGGATTTGTGTCGTGTAAATGCTCCCACCACGGCCAGATCCAAGCTCCCAAAGTGACATCACTGAACATGGAGTTGGGGGAGAGGTGTAGGATGGGCTCTTGCAAGCCATTGTGAGCACAGCATTGCCGACCACTCCTATCCGGAAAGGATTCTCTCTAGATTTGGAAAGGAATATTGGGGCCAGATTGTTGAGGGCCTTGAAAGCCAGATTATGGGGTTAAGAATTTAATCTATAGTCAAATAAGGAAGATTATTAAAGTTTTAGAGCTGGGGCAGACAAGGGGACATATGTTACTATCTGCGCCATATTGTGAAAACATGAATCCAGCAGCATTGTGTAAGAAGTATGGTGGAGAGAATATGGAGGCAGAGACAAAGGTTATTGTGTTAGAACAAGGACGTGAGCACATACTGGGGATGTGGAAATAGAAAACAGAGGATGGATGCAAGAAAGATTTAGGGATTAGAATCCACCTATCAGAACAACTGATAGGATGTGGAGGGAAGGGAAATGGTAAAGTTAATGAGACTCCAGGATTCCAAGTGTATCCTGTCATTTGACATTTGAGCCTAAAATTCCAAATGGCCAAATGGTACCATTGAGGATATAAAGAATGTTAGTTTCTTGATGTTTTTAAAAAAGTTGTTCTTGGGGCGCCTGGGTGGCGCAGTCGGTTAAGCGTCCGACTTCAGCCAGGTCACGATCTCGCGGTCCGGGAGTTCGAGCCCCGCGTCAGGCTCTGGGCTGATGGCTCAGAGCCTGGAGCCTGTTTCCGATTCTGTGTCTCCCTCTCTCTCTGCCCCTCCCCCGTTCATGCTCTGTCTCTCTCTGTCCCAAAAATAAATAAACGTTGAAAAAAAAAATTTAAAAAAGTTGTTCTTTTTTAAGTTTATTTATTCTGAGAAAGAGAGAGAGAGTGTGGGCAGGGGAGGGACAGAGTGGGGGGGGAGGGAGAGAATCCCAAGTAGGCTCCATACCAACAGTGTATAGCCCAATGCAGGGCTTGAACTCACAAACCCATGAAATCATGACCTGAGCCAAGATCAAGAGTCAGATGCTTTAACCAACTGAGCCACCCAGGTGCCCCTGTTAGTTTATTGACATTTAAAGCTTATAAGCATCATGTATGAACTTGAAATATTCCTTTGAAATTGCTACTGTTTCCCTAGTGAAGTTCAGGCATCGAAGGGGGAATCAACGTGACGTAAAGAATTATGGGAAGGATGCTTGAAGATCAAATGCCATCTCTGGCTGGGTTGCTAACAGATAGCAAATTTGGCCAAATCAATCACTTGACTGCCCTTTCACCCTCCGGGTCCTCACCTGTCTAAATAAAGGTTTTATAAAGTGAGCTATTACACTACTTGCTAAACTTTAACATGATAACCAAACATGAAGTGCAGTGTCTAACAACCTCAGCATAGCTATTGCCAAAGATCTATTGCAACTTTGAGCTCTGTACAAATAAGACATATGGCTGTGACTGCAGTGAGAAACTCTGTTTATTTCAGTGTTAGTAATTACATAAATACTTTTTATAGCTGGTTGTATGGAATCTTTAGAATCCTAGGAAATGTAAAGCATTTGCATGCAGTACACACTTGAGTTACAAGCCCTATGAAATTGTCACTGGTGCTCTATCTCACACTAGATAAGAACAAAAAAAGCACATATCCCAGTGTGAGACCAGACACCATCCTGTGACTGTGAGGAGGAGCAGCCTTAGAATGAAGTGTGGTTTGCCAGAGTGCAAGAAAGAAGGAATCTTGGTCATTTATGACATCACTGAGTTGCAAAATCAACCAACCTCATGACCCTCCCTACCACTAGACACCGTGTCCTATAAAATAATAAATGCCCTTTTTGTTCAAGCCACTTTGGGTTTTTTTAATTTAAATTTTAGTTAGTTAGCATGCAGTGCAATATTGGTTTCAGGAGTAGAATTCAGTGATCCATCACTTACATACCACACCCGGTGCTCATCCCAACAAGTGCCCTCCTTAGTACCCGTCACCATTTTAGCCCATCTCCCACCCACTTCCCTCCACCAACCCTCAGTTTGTTCCCTGTCATTAAGCATCTTTTGTGGTTTGTTTCCCTCTCTTCTCTCCCCCCTCCCTTCCCAAATGTTCATCTGTTTTGTTTCTTAAGTTCCACATATGAGTGAAATCATATGGTATTTGTCTTTCTCTGGTTGACTTCTTTCACCTGGCACATACATTCTAGCACCATCCACTGTTTAAGTCACTTTGAATTGAGGTTTTTGTTACTTGCAACTAAACGCATGCTAACTAATACACAATTTGGCTTAGGTTTTTAAAGATTTATTTCTCATATAACAATAGGGAAAGAATAATGTCCTTCGAAGATGTGGGTTCTAGTTCAGAACCAATCATTTATTGATGTAATGACGTTGGGCAAGTCAGTTTCCTTATCTACAAACAAAAACAATACTCTTTTTCTCTTCTTTATTTTTTTAAATTTTGGTTAAATGCACATACTTCATATATTTTGTAATTAAAAATTTAATTAGCATGCAGTGAACTTAATTTTTTTTTTTTGGCACACAGAGCTATGAGTTGTAGTGCCTATATAGATTCGTGTAACCACTACCACAATCAAGATACAAAACATCTCCCCCCCAAATTCCCCCTTAAATTCTTTCGTAGTCATACCCTTCTCTCACCCCCAACCCCTGGCACACCGATCTTTTCTCTCTCTCCTATGCTCTTGCCATTTCTAGAATGTAACTTAAATGGAA